CTGCTGCTGCTTTAGCCAGTGTTAGATTATCTGTTAAAATGACCGCTTCCTGTAATCCCATGTTGTTGAAGATAATAACTGCTAACTTGATTGCTAGCGCTTCTGCGGGAATCGCTGATTGTGCTTGCATGGTTGATGCTGAAAACTTGATCTTCCATCTTGATTTTCCTTCTTGTACCTGCATAAATATTCCTATATCTGCTTTTTCCCATGTTATCATGCTTGATTGTCCCTGTTCATTCCAAGCTACGTCTGTAAAAATCTTGTTTGAAGCCAAAAGTCCAGTGTTGTGATTGTAGTCCCTTGGATATGTTTGTCCTTGCCATGTTTATGCATTATTCCTGTTTCGGAATTTGCTAATTCCTGCATGTTTACATTTTGTTCCAGATTCGGGCGCTCGTCCCACAAACTCTTGCTCAGCATTGCCCCGAATTACTTTGTTCTTCACGTATTCGGGTGTCTCTACCCCCAACACTTCCTCAAATTTCTAGCACAAGCTTGATCATTGGTTGCTCGCCTACTTGTTTCTCGGGTACTCACCTGATCACCTCAGTTACCATTGTTACGATCCAACCACCCTCTAAGTTCTCACCTCGCATCACATTCCTTTTGACAAACACTAGTTCCCGTTAACTGTGGATCGCTCGATTAAGGGTCCACGAAGGAGCTACCAAGCTATGTCATCATTGTTGAAAATATGCCCTAGAGGCAATAATAAATTGGTTATTATCATATTTCTCGTTCATGATAAATGTTTATTATTCATGCTATAATTGTATTGACCGGAAACTTAAATACATGTGTGAATACATAAACTACACTGTGTCCCTAGTAAGTCTCTACCAGACTAGCTCGTTGATCAAAGATGGTTAAGCTTTCCTAACCATGGACATGAGTTGTCATTTGATAATGGGGTCACATCATTAGGAGAATGATGTGATGGACAGACCTAACCGTAAGCTTAACATCATATCGTTTAGTTATTTGCTACAACTTTCTTCATGTCAAGTATCAGTTCCTTAGACCATGAGATCATGCTACTCCCGGATACCGGAGGAATGCCTTGTGTGCTATCAGACGTCACTTGATAATTGGGTGATCATAAAGGTGCTCTATAGGTATCTCTAAAGGTGTCTGTTGGGTTGCATGGATCAAGACTGAGATTTGTCGCTCCGTGTGATAGAGAGATATCTCTAGGCCCTCTCGGTAATACAACATCATAAGAAGCTTTATGTGACTAATGAGTTTAGTCACGGGATCTTGTACTATGAAACGAGTAAAGAGACTTGTCAGTAACGAGATTAAACTAGGTATGGAGATATCGACGGTCGAATCTCGGACAAGTAACATATCGCCACACAAAGGGAATTGCATATGGGATTGTCTGAATCCTTGACATTGTGTTCAACCGATAAAGATCTTCGTTGAATATGTAGGAACCAATATGGGCATCCAGGTTCTGTTATTGGTTATCACCTACTTGTTTCTCGGGTCATGTCTGCATGATTCTTGAACCCGTAGGGTCGCACGCTTAACGTTTGGTAGCGCTAGGGTAATATTAAGATATTAATAGTGGAAAATCCGAAGGTTGTTTGGAGTCTCGGATGGGATCCGAGGCGTCACGAGGAGCTCCGGAATGGTCCATAGGTAAAAATTTATATATGGAAAGTTGTTGTCGGGGTTCCGGGAAAAAGTCTGGTTTTTTCGGTATTGTACCGAGAAGCCACCGGAAGGTTCCAGAGGGCTACGGGGGGGTCCAGAAGTCCTCGGAAGGTTCCACCATGTCCCATACAGTAGCATGGGCTATAGGGGGGCGCCCTGGCCTTAATGGTCCAGGGGCACCAGCCCCTACAAGGGCCATGCGCATGGGGAGGGGAAACCCTAAGGGGAGGGCCTCCACTTGGCTTGGAGGGCACTCCTCCCCCCTTGGCCGCCGCCCCCTGCCTTGGGAGGAGGGCTAGGGCTGCCACGCACCTCCCTCACCCCTTTATATAGTGGGGAGGCGCAGGGGGCAGCTAGCCCTTCCGTGCCTGCCCTGTCTCCCTCCTGTTACTCCTCCTCCATGACCCGTCAGCGCTTGGCAAAGCCCTGCTGGAGTTCGGTCGCCACCACCACCACCACGCCATCGTGTTGGTTCAGATCTCATCTACCTCCTCTCCCTCCCTTGCTGGATCAACAAGGAGAGGACGCCGCCGAGCCATACGTGTGCTAAACTCGGAGGTGCCGCATGTGCGGTACTTGGATCAGATTGGATCGCGACGCAAGTACGACTACGCCAACCACGATCTCTAGATCGTTAATGCTTTCGGTCTACAAGCAAGCGTACGTAGACACCACTCCCCTCTCGTTGCTATACATCTCCTAGATTAGATCTTGGGTGTTCATAGGATTTTTTTTGATTTTCATGCTTCGTTCCCCATCAATCATAGCGTACTCCCACGAAGAACTAGCCTCACCCGAGGTACATCTTCATGAGGTAAGCGATCTCCAAGCCCTTACGAGCTGCTTGGTTTCTTCACAAATTAGAAAACTCCCATGCACCTAGTCGATCTCAGCCCTCCAAAAGTTTATTAAAAAAGAGGTTTCTTGGTGATAGATCTCTTGCTCTTGTGCTTCAAAATAATTTCCTCCACTGTCAATTCTTTCAAGATATGGCCTTGGATTGGAGAGGTAAGAGTTGAAAGCAAAAGTGGGTTTAGATGTCAAAGACTTGGCTTTGGAGTAGAAAGCCCTTTGAAATCAACACAATAAGGTGATATACCCAGTTTCAGACCTCCAAGATGGATAAAAACCCTACTTCTTGCCTTGCTTCTTCTTTAACATAGGAAGAATATAGAGGACTACAATGTAGAGAGGTACTGGTCCGGTCAAGGAAACTTGACA